TAAGTTTAAAAAATCCAAAAATTAAAAGTAAAAAACTATAATTAATACATTTTTCACTGTGCAGGGAGAGGTAAGGCAAACCCTGAGTAAATTGCTATCAATTCATTACTTCCAAACCAATTAAAATCCAGACGTACAAAACCAATCTTAGACGTACACGTGTCTTTTACCAAGATAAATAAAGCACTCACCACCACCGTATATCTTCTGCAACTTCCTAGCAGACTCTGGGTTTGATCTCACCAGGCAGACATTGAGGCTATTTCCGGGGAGAGATCACAGGAGACAGGAGAAAGATGTTTGCACCGCCGGGCTATCGAGCAATGAGATATCATGACCATGTCCGGCGCCGGCACGAGGAAAGAGGCTTCCTTTATGCTTGGTTAGTAGTATGATTTCGATTCTGATTTTATATGTTTTTTCATTTTTCTGGGAGAAATTAGGATCAAGTTTGTAGATTTTGTGATGCAGCCTTTTTGCGTTGTGCTGCTGTTTTTGCTGCTACGAGACTTGCGAGTGCTGCTTGGACGTTGTCTGCTGTTGCTGCCCTTAAAATCAATCAGATCAAGTTATGTTTTCTGCATTCTATTTTGGTAGGGGAAAAAATATGGTAAATGTTTTCTGCAATGTGCAGGGGAAACTTATTTATTTTCTCTTTTGGCATCTAATGTGTGAGGAGATTTCCCTTTTTGTGGTTAGATGATCTCAATCTGTATGCCTTTTAGTCCTTTTTTCCTTTATGAGAATCATAATAGAGTCAGTGTTTTGCAGTTTGGTATAAGTCCAAACTACAAAGTAGAAATTATTGAATAAAAGGTTAGCCTCCATTATCAAAAAGCCTGCCTCAATCTAATAGTTTTGAGTTTTTTTCTTTTTCATTATATATAAATTACCCGAGCAAAATGGAGGTGTACAGGAGATGGGTAGATGTTAATTCCCAAATTCAGATGTTCCTTGGTAAGGCAAACCGCTGGAGCTTTTTAAATTTTAATTGTCAGTTACACAATCTGGAGTTGACCTTTCCCACATGTATCTTATGTTTATATCATATGACTCAAACTTAATGTGTTGTAGTCACTATAGATCATGAATTGCCAAACAAATATAGCATATTCAGAAACAAAAAAGAACTGCTTTTGTTATTTATACATAGGTTGTGGTTGGTTTCCATGGATCCTGGAAGAACGAACATTCTAGGAAGCCCGTAAAAATCAAGCCATGGCTTGGTCTAGGAATGAAAGAATCCAAGATCAAGATTCGAGAGCATGTCATTGGCTATATAGGATATAATTGATTATATATGTTGAATTGTGCCTCACAACAAAAAAATGCAATAAATGAAGTTTCCAAGTTATATAATCTATGTTCCATTTTTTATCAGCCCAAGTTATATAATTGATTATATTCATATAACCAATTTTAGCCGATATATAACCACTTAGGTATTCATATAACCATACAAGCCATATAGACGACTGTAAAAATTTCACAATCCTAACACAAATTTCAAAATCCAAGATCAACTTTTCATAACTCATTGGCATGGCTTACCCGGATTCAGTTTCCAGGGAAATTTACATACCAAACATGGCCATAATATTAGTTAATGGTCTGAATTCTGACATAAGCTAAGGAATTCTATTGTATTTGGTACAAGAAGCAAAATCAAAAGCACTTATTTCCGATTCCCATGTAAACATAATACAGAGGGGATGGGTTCAGAAAATATACGCACAAGCAATTGATGTCAGCAATGTGGTCAATAACACGGATACCAGGTTTACGGTATTGTTGTCAAGAATGCTAACACCAGAGATCCTCTTTACTGTTGGTCCTGGTTTTCCAACAACCTGCAAAGAATGGATTACATTTTTAAACAAACATTGTTTTTATCAACATGAATAGGAGAAGATTTGTGCTAAAGCAGTGTCGTAGTTTACCTTATTTCGAACGGTGCAGAATCCACTAAACTGCAGGGTTGCTCCCAATAGAGAGTCTAAGACACTTCCCAATAGTCCTGCCATTGCAGAGAGAGGTATAACTAATAGCTGTTTCAGAGCTACATCAGTTGTACATTTGGTTGTGAAAAATCCTACGATGACAAACATCAGTCCAATGATACCGCCTGCTGCTATAGCTGCAAGAAGGCCTGCTTTTGTCACACCTCCATTTGTGCCCCTCCGAACAGGCTGGTAGGAAGTTGGAATTATATTAAATCTCCTATCTCTAAAAAAACTAAATAGCAAATCGGTTTCCTCTAATCTGAAAAAGAATCGAGGATGTAAATCATCATATAAATTCAGCATCTAGCACCTCATTTTTAGCATAGTAACCATTAAGAATCAACAACACTATGCATCCATATTGATAAAAAAACATGATGCATCTATAGAAGACAAGGATCCTATCACTTTAAAATTTATTAAAAAAAGGCCAATATAAAATTGGTATATCATATAAAAGAAGAAATGACAAGAAATCAAGTACTGAAAAATTAGCTAGAGGTTCAAGTATTTAGTATAGAAATCCATTTTCCCAATTCACACAAGGGCAAAAGACATGGTCTTCAAAAAGAAAATACAATCTGGATGCCTTCTTTTTTCATTTTTCATTTTTCCTTCTTTTTCATACAACATTTGCTATGGAATGCTTTAGAAATCACTTAATAAGTAGCAATCCAAAATGACGTGCTCAGAATTATTCAAAGGAGATGGAAAATCACCTTAAAATTAGTTATCAATCGAGGCTGGTCATCACTAAGAACCCCAATCTCTGATGACCAAGTGTCACCATTGCAGCAAGAATAGTGACCAATTATACCCCCAATTAAGGAAGTGGTAAGAACTGACTCTTTTGTGTCCAGGCACTTATCCTGCACTCCTGTCAATTTCCAAATAACAACCACCAAAATTGTTGCAATGCCACTATTGAACAGAACTTGTATCCTGAAAGGAAGAAATTGGGAATGTCCTGTTAAAGCAAGCACTCATCATTCAATAAAAACCTTTCATGTTGCTACTCAAGATGCATGGCGTGTTCTGTGTTTCTCAGCAATTACATCAGTAAAAAGCATAGTTTGAGAGTTGTAAACTTTATTTCTCTTAATAAAACTATGCAATTTCTATATATATATATATATATATATATCACCCTGATGAAAGTTCTTAAAACACAGAGTAGTTCAACAACTTTCACTTGAATTTTTATCAGGCCTAAGCATTAACCAAATTCAACACTCTTCAAACAAACAATCAATGCAGAATGCTATCATCTTTGCAATCCTCTATTTTAGTCTCATGCAATTGATCTTCTAAATATCCACTACGGGTAGCAGTCGGACCAAGGGTCCATATACCCATTTTATATGTGTACATATATATAAAACCCTAAGACATTTACTCTTTAGGCTAGCATACATCATGCCAACACCATTGCCATCGGAAAGAATTAAGACTCAGCCTGGTTGCTACCAATGCATTTTTTTTTTCAGTCTTCCCTTTTCTTTTTTCCTTTCCTTTTTGATCTCCATTAAAACCAATCTCCCCATCAACATATTCAACCAAACTTAGAAGTCTAAATTTTTGTTTACTAAGTATGCAAAAACTGAAGAATCCACAGTGCTTTTATCAGAAAAATATTATGCATTTCACCGAAAATAACTAGATTTATTAGTACTAAAACAGCAGTGTGCATCAAGTAAATACAAAGTAATTTTAACTAGTGTCCAAATAGAAGGGGCGAGAATCGTTACCAATTTCTTTGTCCCCCTTCCTTAAAATCAGCATCAATTTGTCTCTTCCTCTCTTCTCCAATCTTGGTGAGCATGGAAGAAGAAAAAAAGAAAGCAAGCAGCATCGCTCCATACCTGAGTATAATTTCCTATACAAAATAACCACCAACTCTTCCGAAATTTTTTTTTCTCGGGAAAATAACGGAAAACGCAAGTGAAAATTTTCTCGGCAAAACAAGCAATCGAAGGAAACCATAACGAATTCATGAAAAGTTAAAAGAAAAAGAAAAAAAAAAATGAAACCTGTATCCGACGGCGAAATGAAGAGTCATAACGATAAATCCGGAAAGAGCTCCGGATACATCGAGAGATTTTCTCCGATAGGCTCTAATTGCTATTCCGGAAGAGATTAACGCGGCGATTAACGGTTGGGTTAGAGCTTTCTCCATCTTTTTACTCCCTGAGCAGCAGCGCTGGCAGCTAGGACTGGCTTCCTGGTTAGTAATAACAGAAGGAAGAAAATCACCTCATTTTGGTTTTGA